TGCGAGTCGACCGCCATAACTACTTGGCCATGCCCGCTAGATTATGAACGGCTAACGCAGATATCCCTCGTGTAGCTTTGCGCGAAATTCAAGAACAAACAAACAATACTTCAAAGTCCGATTGAATGCTGGCTTACTTTTCAATTGTGAGGGAGAAAGAGGGGGGAGGGGAAAATTGATTGATAGAGAAGGCCCACATACAATCCTTTCCCGATTACATGAAAGATCTTGGCGGTCCTGCTGGCATGTGTTATTACTTAAGGCCAAAGTGCTGAAAATGCAATTTCTTCTTAGTGATATTACAATTACATAGTTTCGAGATGACATTCTAAAATACTGTCTATATTTCCTGATAGCAAGCTTACATACTGAAGAATATACAGCTTCTCAGGCGCAACTTAATAAGGTACTCTAAAAAATTGAAAGGAAATATTTCATAACGTCAACACTTAAATATTGAAATATATTTTAGAAGCACCATTTATTCACTGAATACAGTTGATAAACGAGTTGTGATACTTGGGAAACTGTGCCATGTTTTCTTAGTCTACAGTAACTCAGATAAACTTTAATTTATCGTAAAAGTTTGAATTATACACGCTTTTGGAGTTTGTAAACTTTTACATATAAAAATACTCGCCCCGCACAGTAATGACCTTATTTCGTTGGCTAGTTGCACACGGTCAAGACGTGCGTCACATTTATTCACTTTTGAACTTTCTGACAGATAATATTGTTGGAAACTTAATTTTGATCTTGCATCTGCTTTTTTTCATAGCATCTCTATATGTATTTAAGTTTAGAAATACCTGAAGACTGTTTTCTCCCTATCTTCACCCAAGAGATGAAGAACAACGTGAGTATTGCTAGCCCTATTCATTCAAGTATGTAGTGGTCAGTCCTCTCTATTTTCAGACAGAATATCTAGAATATCTATAAAATAGGTTGAGAAAGCTAACGTCTCTTCCGTTTATTCAGAAGAGCTGTCAGACGTTTAGTGCACCCATGTTTGCAATTAATAATAAAGAAATTAAATACCTTTGAAATTATACTTCAGTTTAAATCCGTTTATTGTACTTTCTGCCAGTTCTCCAGGTACTTGCGTTTACAATCAATCCCAACCGGGAGGCCAATGAGACATATGATGGGACCAAATATAAAATTAGGTTAATGGACAACATTATCTTAGGGGAGCAAGGAAATGTTAGCACCATCCCCTCCTAGCGCTGACCCTGGCTACAATCCTTATGTTTAAGGGTATCAGTGTACCTGAGACTGCCACATAGTTACTGCTCTAGAACACTAGTATTCTGAAGTTTAAAGAGGCCAAGAATTAAGATATGATTGAATCAACTTGCTCTCCAAAAAACTCTCTCTATGGTTTTTTGTTCTGGGTATATAGCCCATCACACTCGTAAAAATATGACAAAGTCCAAATGCTTTCATAAAACGTCTTACAAGCAGGTTCAACTGGTTTTATTGGGTAACATCCAACACTCATATCCTAAACAAGTTTCTACAAGAGCCGGACCTGGTTCGATAGTTAACGTGCTCAGACTGTAAGTCCAAGGATTCATTGTTCACGACCCAATGCCACACAAATGCGTTCCATACTTTGGAATTGTAGAGTCTCTATAAGAGTGACGGTGACATTCCACTATTTTGTCAGACAGTAGTAGCCAATGAGCTGGTGGTGGGTGCTGTTGACTTGTTGTTGGTAAATCTAGTCTATTATTTCAAAATAGAAGTTCACTGTCCTACAACTTGTTGAAAACTTTTTTAATGAATAAAAACTGAGACTGATTGCAATTCTAGCTCGTGACAATACAGGATTTCTAGTTAAGTTATTGAAAATGTCTAAGAAATCTGTCTTCTCCTTCTTAAGTTAATAGAAGTTAGAACCGAAACTTATACCATTCTGATGCTGTGACATATATCATTGAAATCTGGAACCCATTTAATGCGACATTTCCAGAGTCAAGCTTTAAAGTACCTAAGTAAATGTTTAGCTTTTAATACATTTTACTGTGTATCAAGTTTAAAGCTAACAGGACAAGTATAAATGTGTTAAGTTATAATTATTAAAAGTATATTTTTGTACACACTAATATTCTGTAACAGAAAATATTAAATCTATACATTCTCTATGTGGCTATTTAGTTCGTTATTTTATCTTTAAATTCGTTATTTGGCATTCAATATAATATGTTTTGAAATTTTTACATGAGCTAATTTGTAGTATTTTGAGCTGAATTATATTTCATTTTCTTTATCTTTGTCCTCCTCCTGGTGGATCAGCGGTAAGTTTATGATCTTACAACGTTGAAATCTGGGGTTAAATTCTTTACAGTGGACGGCGAGTATAAAGCTTATTATGTAGCTTTGCGCTGAAACAACAACATATTTTTCTAGTCCTCCGGTTGGTCAACGGTAAGTTTGCGGACTTACAACGCTAAAAAGCAAAATTCCATTCCCTACAGCGGACAGAACACAGAAAGCTAATAACAACATTAACTTCTGAATGTTCTGTTGGTTTTTTCAAACTACCTTGATAGCTGAATAATATTTTTTTTGTGTAGTATAACATTTTATTTCGAAAACCTTAGTAAAGAAAGTATCCCAGTTCAACTCTACAAACAACAAAAAAAAAGAACATCTGTCGTAAGACTTCTGAAGTTCTGACACATAACTATTAAATATTATCATAAAATGTAAACTTTTTCAGCCTTTTACACTGTATTAAGGAACCATTTTCAAAAATTAATGATACACTACTGCATAAACTGTGCTAAAATATGTTATAAATATGTTTTGTTTCATGGCATTCAGATATATAAATGTCTAACAGAAAAGTTTAAGTTTCGGCAACATGCATGTTCAAGAATGTATAACGAAAGAATAAATTAAACGTGGACATCAAAGTAAAAACAAGGAAAAACAAACGAACACAATCCTCATTCACAACACAATGTGTATTTTGAAATAACTTTCTGGCCAACTTCCAATTTGTAATACTGCTGTTTAGCTGTTAGGATTGAGGACAGGAACAAGTGCTTGATTCATAGACAACAGCTGAAGCAACAGGTGAAAACTAAAGACCCCAAAAATAAAAGGAAAAATCATGGAAATAACCTGCTTGAAGACTTAGTGGGGTATCCTATAAATCATTAGGTTACATACTTCAACAATAGACTACGTACAATTTTAACCCATTTCAAGCCAGTTCATACTGGTTTCTCTTCCACCTATTTCAATAGACTACCTTCCTAGAAGGTCTATAGAGAAACACGTATAAGCCAGCTTGCGATTTAAATCGCATTGTGTAATCTTTAATTTTTTAAAGATTTGTTTTGTTTTGTTTGTTTTCGTGAAAAGCCACACAATGGGCTATTTGTGCTCTATCTGCCTTGGGGAATCGAATCCTGGATTTTAGAATTGTAAGTCAATACACCTACCTTTGACCCATTGGAGGACCCTGTAAAATGATTAGCACGTGTTTACGACCTTGTGACATTCAATAAACACAGGTGTGGTTAACTACATGTTGAATCTGCTGGAAAATATTGATATTGTCACAGATGAAAGACACAGTAGAACATATAATCGTATATGCTAGTCGTATGCTGATTACTTCTGAGTGTTGATACTGCATGACAAATAAAGAGTTGCTTTCATTTATAGTACAGAGGAAGACGGTTGCTGGCAATAAAGACACTATATTCGTCGGGACACTATCTATATACGTAGGATTGTTTTTGTGTCAGAGGAAGTTATAAAAATGGAATTTTAAACGAGTTTTATATGTAGTATGTAATATGTATTTAAAAACGAACATAACATCCGAATAAAGTCACATACTAAACATCGCATGAACTAAACACTCGCTTTGCGTCCCTCTTCTTCCTTAGTTGTTCCTCCACAGCTCTTAGATTAAGGCGACCTTCAGATAAATCAATTCCTGAAAATCGCCGAAGGACTGTAAGTGTACCAACGAGTTCCTTCGTTTAAGATAGGTTCTCTTCCTCATCGTCCTCTTCTTGTAAGTCCATTTTGGGGATTTTTTGCATAATTTTTCACTTTTACTTCTTCTATCAACACATCATGAGTGAGTTCACCTCTTTATCCACATCAAGAAGTTGTTTAAAAGACTCCATTCTTAATTGATCAGGGATTGCAACACTGTCCAACGGATCATTCGCATCATTTTGGTCGTCATCTACAACCTGCAACTGGAAGCCTCCTTTTCTGAAACAATTTGCAATTGTCTCTGTTCGCATCAGTTTCCATGCTTCAGCAATAACAGTGACTGCTGTCAGAAGATCTATCTTCTTTTTTAGTTCTTCAGACGAAAGGTTAGGATCTGTGTGATCTTATCCATGATGTGCTGAAGTATGGAACGGTGGTGAGCCTTAAGGTTCCGGATGACTCCCATGTTCATTCGCTGCATAACAGATGTTGTGTTTAGGGGAAGAAACTCAAGCTTTATGTTTTGCAGTGAAACATCTGCAGGGTGAGATGCACAATTGTCTATAAGCAAGCATATGTTTTTCTTCGTTTTTGCGAGTTCCTTATCCCACTTGTGAAGCCATGACTCAAGTGTATTTCTCGCCATCCATGCATTTACGGAACTAGCGTGAGAGACAGGGAGCTATGTCAGATTTTTAGGGAAGCAACGTGGATGCTTAGCTTTTCCTATCAGAATCAAGGGCATATTTTTAGATCCTGTCGTGTTTGCACAGACAAGGATTGTGATTCGATCCTTAGGCAACTTTCCTCCTTCTGCCTTTGAACTACGTCCAACGTAGCCACGAGAGTCAAAAAGTTTGAAGAAGAGTGCCGTTTCATCAGCATTAAAAACGTCCTCGTGCTTATAAGAGTTAAAAATTGCTGGTAATTTTTCACTGAGTCATTGTTTTGACGCCGTAACATCTGCATATGTTTTCTCTTCGAGTTCAACTTTATAAACAATGTTGTGTCTTGCTTTTCATTGTGTGAACCACCCGTCGTTTTGCTGAAAACCTTCGATTTTCGTAGTCTGAGCTAGATCCACTGCCTTTTGACGAAGCAAAACCCCACTCGGAAGAACTCCTTGTGCCCGCTTTTCTTTGAACCATAGAAAAATAATTTCTTCAAGCTCTGAAAATGTGCCGGGACTATTTCGTTTCTTATTGGCGTTTCCTTGTCCACTCTGAAACCGACTCTCAAGATCACTTTTTTGCATCCAAATTAAATTGACTATCTGCCTGCTCACTCCAAACTGCTGCCTTGTAACTCCTGGCTGCTTGCCCGCAGCAATTACGTCCACCTTTTGTGACAGTGTTAACACTTTCTCTTTCTTTCCATAGTTACAGAGTGCACCAATCTGAAATTATAACACGTTTTTTTCAAAACCTTTACACAGCTGTCACAGTTGTCAAGTTCTATAAATGTATTGATACAGTAATTTTAATTTGCAGGTTGGAGATTATAACCGTCGGTTGGGACACTATATCAGTAGTAATTTTATATGTAGAAAAACCGGTTCCTTGGGTTTGGGACATTATAAGCGTTGAGAAACTATAACCACCTTCCTCTGTACTTGTGAAACAAGATTAACACATTTGAATGGTAGAAAGTTACCATTCCTTTGGACTATGCATTACTAAAAGGCTTATGAACTTTAGAAATGTGAAATCGATGACTCCACATTGGATCATGATTTTACCAGAATGCGACTTAGTTTTATGTCTTTTACAGGAAATGCAACACTGAAACATCAATGGATTGTTTTGCCTTGAAACCGAGTTTCGCTATCAGTGGCGGGCAGAGTACGGATAGCACATTGTGTAACATTGTGCTTAATTACAAACAAACTTATCTTGCCAAATGTCGGAGTGATATTCATTGCAGCATCATTGATTTCAAGCCGTACAGTATGTAATGATTTCAGTTGTAGATGAAAAACATGATTAATACCTCAGAAACTCTGAAAACAAAAACTAAAAAGCTCATATCTAGCTGGGACATTACTTTATGTGCAGGAAAGTATCCTGTCCCATTGTTATAAACTACCAAGATGTGGTTCTCAATCTGAGCTTCAGTTAATGGTCCCATCTCTGGACAAGATATCACCTTTCAGGTGCCGAGTGCACACCTGGTTATCAAATTTAATAACTTAAGTAACAATAATAATTATATCTCTAACATTTTTAACTCAAAGAAAACTGTAATGAATATTTTGTAATTCTGGCTTCATTTGGCTATCTGCTGTGTCCACTGCTGGGAATCGAACCCCGGATTTTAGAATTGTAAGTCCGTAAACTTACCGCTGTCTCACTGTGGGACCATACTTTATATAATTGTTAAAGAGAAACAAAATAAACTATCCACAATTTCATTTCTGCGCATCTCCACGGAGTTATCCCTGCAAACAACTTATTTATAAGACAATTTTAGTGTTTCTGCCCATTCCAAAGCACAGACTTATATTTTCTAACACACTATTATTCTTTCAGAATATATTTATCCATGTTTTGTTTTCCTTTTCTGTCATATAATTTTCTCTCTCTGTTAGTGGTTTTGTTATTACAGCCTTTTGTTACCATCATTTGTGATGTCACAGTATATGGTCTGAGCAATTACGAAAAAATAGCAGACTTTAAAATAGGTATAAAAATATTTTAATTAATGTTAATGTGGAGTAAATAAAATTTTGGAACAGTAATTTGTGGTTTCTCAGAAAGTGACTAGTAACTCCTGATGGTGTGAACCACAAATCGGATTTGAAGCTTTTTGTAGACATATTTTCATTACTGAAACAACAGGTAAGCTTAGTTTAGCGAGTATTTATTATTAATTGTAAGAATTTAAAAGTGAAAATAAAGAATAATGTAATAATATGTTAACCACAATATATTTGTAATATCTAATACTGATAGTTCCCCAGTGGCACAGCGGTATGTCTGCGGACTTACACCGCTAGAAACCGGGTTTCGATACCCGTGGTGGGCAGAGCACAGATAGCCCTTTGTGTAGCTTTGTGCTTAATAATACACAACAACAACAACAACAACTAATACCGATGAGACCTTTCGTCTAATACCAGGGTTGATCAGACTGGCTAGGATACGACAGACATAGTAGTGGTCGAGACACTATTCATGGTAGGTGATGACAAAATATTATTACGTCTTAAATCTTCATTAAATGAATATTATTGCTAAATATGTTGCATTAAAACGATTCTCTTAGGTAAAAGAACTGATTGTATATTGAAAGTAATCTATATTTATTGGATATAATTCGCAGAGTGACCCAATGGCTAGCGTGACTGCCAAAAAATCACGCTTCCCACTTTGGGAGGATGAATGCATGAAAATATTACACTACTAATTCAAGTAAGAGTAGCCCTAAAGTTGGTGGAAGGCGGTGTTGACTAATTGTCTTTCCTCTAGCCTATCTCTTTAAGAAAATTAGGGATGGCGATTGCAAATAGCCCTCGTGTAGTTTTGTGCGAACAAAATAAACAAACAAATAATTATACGTGAATTAATCTCAACCAGTGATATTGCTAGCCAAAATAAGGCTGCCAAGCGAGAAAAATATAATGGTGACACCGTTTTATTGATAGTTCAGTTCCTGGATCAATTTTAGCAGTGTTGTTTTACAACTTAGAATTGAAAGTGGTGACTACTACAATTGGCGAAATAAAGTATCAACAGAAATATCTTAATTAACTCAAGAGTGAAAAAATGAAATTAAAAGACAAAAAAGAAATACTTTTCTAGACAATGCCGCACAAATTTCAAAATACAAAATTAATACATCTTCTAAATCAAATTGTTTAAACTGGTTTAATCAGAAACTAAATTTAGTAAGCTTCTACCAAGTTTCATGCATCTTGGTTAGATATTTTCACTGTCAGAAAGAAAAAAAATCAAGACATATCGTTGACATCCCCTAGTCTGGAGGGGATTAGCAAATGATACTTTAGATTTTTCATAATTCAAGAAATGGAGGTCACCCACCTACTAACGTGCAAATGTGTTTTTTTTTTCTGGTAGTATTCATGTAGACATTTTTGAGCGATGGTGAAAACAGCATAATGTGTGTGCTGCTTAGAGGAAAACTAGCAAAACAGAATAAACTCTCATAGAGAATAGCTCCTCTACTGGAAACTAAATGACGTAATTAATATGTAATAGTTGTTTGAATTACTTTCCCAAATGTGCCAAAGCTTAGCCAGTTGTTGATTCATTAGTATCTGTGACTGATGTAATGGCTGAACAATAGATAGCATGATTCAAAATACCTGGAAAAATCCACATGGAAAGAAGTTAATTTCAACAGCCGTTTATTAGATGAGTTGTGTAGGGTATTGTGTGTGGTAAACTACGAAGTATTTTGTCTTATAGTTTGGTAGAATGGGTAATACAGGCAATCAAGTAGATGCTCGCAAAGTTTTTTAATGTCAATCAAACCAATTAGGTTGACCATTTAGCATACATTTTGATGGCATATCGTGCAACAAAGCAAAAGACAAGAAACTGTTTGCTGAACATGTTTATGTTTGGTCTAGAAATGCAGCATCTTTTTAACCAAATGTATGGTCTGCCCTCTAGAGCAAATGCGTCACAATGCCGACAGGAAAATGTGGAATGGTTGAGTTCTCCCTTGGTTGTTGCATCTGAATTTGTGAATCAGCTGCTAGGAAAGGCTCTCATACAGCAAAATGGATTATATGATGAAGCATTCAAAGAGTAAAAATTCACGTATGAAAATTGAGTATGGCTTTGGTACGTGCTTTCAGCATAGAAACAACTTAGCTGTGGCTACTTGTCCTTACATCATTCTCTGACAAATTTTATCTGTCAAACTGCGAGCTACAATATTTACAAGGTGTACATGAATGCATTGAACACATCAACAAGCTGTAGTCATATGTCAAGGTATCGTGCTCTGGTAAGATCAAGAATCACAGGTTGAGGATAATGAGTGCTGCTATATATCTTCACGACTCATTTGATAAATGGAATGATGCCGGCAGCACTTTTATGTTTACGAGAAAAAAGAGTGAGACAAGGAAATAATTAATATGCATCTCAGATGATTGTGTCTGTGATGCCAGCTGTCAGGTTTTATGTATGGGCCAGATTCTTTACAGTAAATGTCTGTGACTTGTTGGTGATACATTTCAACAATAAACAAACAACACACAGCACACCGGTTTTAAAATCTATATAATAATAATAAGCTTGTTCGTGTGTCTGTTAGGGAAACGACGAGTGCACGCATGCGTATTTAGACAGAAAGGTGTGCGTGCATTATTATGACAGACAAAAACTGAGTATTATTATTCTTATATATACTGGCAGAGACCCGCAAGACATTTGTATTCATATTAGTGTCTTTATTGCAACAGTACTTCTTTAAGTACAGAAATTCTAGAATAGTAAAAAGAATCTTTATCGCAGACACCGAAATCGTGTCATAATATACTTTTACTGCTGTACGCCTTATAAGCATGTGCAGTGAGAAATTTACCCAGAAAATAGTGCAAGCACCTGCGTACACCAGAGAGCTGGAAAGATCAATGAACAAATCACTACAACTGCTCTATGAATGAAGGAATAACAAAATAAAAGTGAATGTAAATATTTTCTATTAACCATTTAGTACAATAACAACATTAAAAGCTTTCAAAAAGGTCTGACGTTAGGTCGTAGAATAACATTATAAGTTTACTTATAGATAGTATTAATTACAGTATAGTTTGGTCCTAACTAAGCTAATGTAAAAAATGTACACGGTACAGAGTTAATTTATCTCTTTATTGAACTTAAGCCTAACATTAGTTAAGATTTTATAAAGTAAGCGCTAAATACAAGTGAACTTATACATTTTGGTGTATAAGATTACATTTCGTTTGTATTATTTTACAAATCTTGAATTAATAGAAATACTGTTGCAATCCTTTTTTTTTCACACCTAAGGTGTTTTTAATTAGATATACTTTAGTAGTAAGTATACCCTTCGTTATAAACACATGAGTACCTAAAAAAACTGTTTGTCTTCTGTTGACTTGCATGTTTTTTGAATAGCAAATATGATGATATTTGACTGATGTTCTCAGTCAATCATAGAGTAGTTCTTCTCACTATTCAATAGCTTTTTACTGATGTACATTATGGAAAACAATATGTCTACCTATTTTTGCAGAAGTACTGCTCCTATTCCAATGATGAATGATTTGATGAAATCTGACGCTCTAAGGATTGGCAAACTTCCTAACATGTTGTTCAACCTCTGGATTGCCATCTGCTGTGGTTGTTCCCACTTTACCTTGTTGGGTTAGTCTTTCAGGTTAGTCAGTGGTGCAGCCATTTCAGCATAGTGTGGGATGAACTTTCTATTTTATCCTGCTAACCCCAGGAAGGATTTGGCTTACTACTTTGTAGTCATAGCTGGTGTAACTTGTATACGGGTTAGCTTTTCCTCTTCCCTAGCTATTTGTCAGTCAACCATTTTGTGTCCAACAAAGTCTAGCCAAACCTAGCCCTGTAGACTTCGGACTGAGTTTGGGTTCCATACCTGAGTTCTAGAGCAGCTACCAGTGCTCTATAGTTGTGCCTGTCGTCTGCTGACAACTGTCCAAGTATTTCCAGTGGTTGTCCCTTCAAGCTCGTTGCCAGATATACTGGTTTCTGCTCCTCTGTCCATCCATTCATTTCTGCCAGGAGCTCAAATTGTGCTCTATATGCTTCCCATGGTGCCTTCCCTTCGAATTCCTGTGGCTTCCTTCGTACTAGATCACCCCTATTGCTGACACACATGTCTGGGATGTGACTTCTGGCAGGACTGAAGATGTCTGCATTAGGGTTTAGCTGCGGGGTCTGGAAGGGCTTCCTATTTTCTGAGGCTGATTAGGTCGATGGCTATTATATCCTCCTTGTGTAAAAGACAGTAAATCACCCTTTAATGTATTTAATTCACTTTGAAATTTGCTAATGTTTTCCATTTGTACTTCTTGCCACTGTTGTTGACTTTCCTGTAGTTGCTGCTGACTTTCCTGCAACTGTTGGAGACTTTCTTCCTGTTTCCTTTCTTGTTCCAGT